GACTGAGGACCGAGGAGGAAGAGGAGGAGGATGAAGAGGAGGAGGAGGACCCAGGAGGAGGAGGACTGAGGAGGATGGCTGAGGAGGATGACTGAGAGGGAAGAGGAGGAGGAGGAGGAGGAGGACTGAGGAGGACTGAGAAGGAGGAGGAGGAGGACTGAGGAGGACTGAGAAGGAGGAGGAGGAGGACTGAATAGGAGGAGGGGGACTGGGGGAGGACTGAGGAGGAGGATGGAGGACTGAGGAGAAGGATGAGGAGGAGGACTGAGGAGGACTGAGGACTGAGGAGGAAGAGGAGGAGGATGAAGAGGAGGAGGAGGACCCAGGAGGAGGACCCAGGAGGAGGACTCAGGAGGAGGAGGAGGACTGGGGAGGAGGACTGTTGAGGACTGATGAGGAGGACTGAGGACGAGGAGGAGGAGTAGGAGGAGGACTGAGGAGGGGAGGAGGAAGAGGACTGAGGAAGATCAGGAAGACCCAGGGGGAGGAGGAGGAAGAGTAGGAGGAGGAAGCATCTAAATGTTATTTCCATTTTTGTCCGTTTTTGTCCGTTTTTATCCGCTCTATTTTTTGTCCGTTTTGAAAATATAGGGTACCGAACGGACAAAAAACATGATCCCCCTATAACAGCAAAAATTGAACATTTTATTTAGCAATTTAGGTGTCCATTAATGTCCGCCTATGTCCGCCTATGTCCGTCTATGTCCGCCTATGTCCGCCTATGTCCGTCTATGTCAGCCTATGTCCTGTCCTTTTTGGATTCTATGAGACAAGCGGACATAGACGGACGTGACACCCCCCCCCCCCCCCCCCCCCCCCCCCTTTTTGTAACCAAATTTATTGGTAACTAGTTCGTTGTTTAAGGCCACAGGGGGGGGGGCGGGGTCCGAGGTCAATTTTGAAATCTTGAGATATGTTGTAGAGCTCGATCTAAATTTTCAAATGCTTTTGTCCTCAACTGAAAAAAAGTTTCATATCTGTAGATACCGCACGTCAAATTTTGAGGTTTACCTGTAATTCTATTGTAAATGAAAACTTTAAATGAAGTTTTGGCTGAAATCTATCTTTTACAGATAATGGCATGGCAACAGTGTTTGTCAAGGTGTCACGAAATTTTCGACAGTTAACCTCATAAAAATTTTTTAAATCACTGCATATTTCCTGAATGTGACATGTGTTTCAAATTTGAGATAAAATGGATGAAAGCTCTAGAGTCTAGAAGATAGGTTTTAAAGGTGGTTTTAGGAGAGCCAAAAGACTGATTTTTGAGAACATATAATGTTAACCTCAATTTTTCAACAAATAAAGGGTATATAATGGTTTTGTTGACATTGGACGGCCAATTGATACCCATGGATAAGTTTAACTTGAGATGAGAGCAACAAACTGTTAAGAACCGGTTATTTGCGAGGTTAACTGATAAAATAGGCAATTGTTAACCTCAATTTTACGACAAACTATGTACTCTGGGGGGCTAGGGTGGTGCGCGAGCGTCTGGTAGTACGTAGTTTTTTTTGAGCTGGGGACAAAAACATTTTGGCCTTGGATCCCCCCCCCCTGTGACTTACCTAAAACTCTTATTTTATTTATAATTAAAGGAATGTAAAATAATTGTTTCAATGAAAACTTATTGTTTTATTGAAAACTTATTGTTTCATTGAAAACTTATTGTTTCATTGACCACAGGGTTGTTGTCTGGTAGGTCAAAGTTAGCTTTAGAAAGGCTCACAGGCCTCACACAGAAAAGAGTTCACTATGAATTCAGTGCCCTGAAGATGCACCTTTCACTTGCTGTGAAGTGTCTTGCGTGCGAAATGTGGCATGCAACGTATGTCAAACAAATAGAGACTTTGATTCTGGAACGAAAAAGTGTCATGGGAATGACTTGGGATCAGCGTCTAAAAATACGTTGATCTAGGTTACTTTCATGCCTGAGTGTTCTTCAACACGAAATAAATGTACATCATCACGCCACATTATTTATCATTATATATTCAAACAATATACACTGTATAATATAGCAATGACCCAATATAAAAATTCTGTAAAAATGGTACAAATTTAAAAACTGAGGTAAAAATAAAACCCTTTGTAATAATATATATATATATATATATAAAATCCACTAAATCACATCACAACAAAAAGCAGTTTAGACCCCCATCCAACAAGCACTCCATGACCTTTTACGGTTTAAGAGTGTTGATCAGGTTAAGGTCCAAATCACTTGTTGCCATGGGTGGAAGGGTTCTGGTACCTCTGACCTCTGTACCCCCTGATAGAGATTATACAGGTTCTGAGTATATCAAAACGCAGTCTGCGTCTGACAAATGACATCACATCACAATACCGCTGGCCTTTCTTTGAGCCGATCCTTTCAGAGAGATGTTTTAGGAACTGTGAAGCCTCAGTTGCCATTCCTCATGTAGTACTGAACACCAGTGGCGTGAATGTAGCCTTTTCAACATTGAGGACTCTCTCATTGTACTCACGTTTTTTGTTTTTCTCGTGAGATTTGTACATCTGTGAGATGCTGCTCTCGTCACTGTTGGACTGGGCTTGAGGGTGAAGTACCCTTACATCTGTGAATGCCCTGACCAGCGGCGACCAAAACGATCTCGCACTGATGTCCAGTTTTGCACCATCTTGTCTATTTGTTCCATTAGATAGTTCAAGAGTGTGAGGAATAGAGAGAAGCTGGGGTTCTGTTTCAACGTCTTTGCAAACAGTGGTTAGGAGTTCAGCTATTGTATCTCTTAGTGAATTGTGTCTAAGTGAAACGTAGCCTCCAATTCACGCAACATTGACTTACAACCTTATCACGTTGATTCGGCGAAATTCGTAGTTTGTCATGTTATCAAATGCTGGTTTCTGCGAACACTTTCGAAAGGTTTTGGCAAAAGTGAAATTTATAACATGAAATAAAACGTTTGATTAAATGGATAGCAAAAAATAAATACAAATTAAAAAAATATGTTCAACAAAATGACATGTGTCAAAACATATAAATTTGTGAATCACAAATATTTTTGACAGAAAAGTTCATCAAATTAAATTCATTATTTTGCTTTTTGATAGTGATTTACCTTTATCATTTATCAAGCAAGTTAAAGACATTTTTCATTTGTATTAAATTGGATGTGCTTTCGGTGGAAATATAACTTGCGCCATAGCATAATATGTTTATAAGCACCTACAGTACACAAATTGTTTCATTTCTTATTGCCGCGCGCATTTATTTGGAGGACTTCGCCGCTTCGACGCGCCGCGCAAACTAGCATTCTTGCTTCGCATCGTCGACGATCGTTGCTCTGCTTCGCAGAGCAACGATCTCGACGGATTGACATCGTCAATCAAGCATTTATGATTTACTTGACGATGATACAATTTATTCATTGTTAATAAATTGTGGACTGACCCGCGCGGTGCGCGCTACTGATTGCAACATTGCATTTATTTTATATTTATTATTGTCTTGGTGCTTGGGTCATATTTCAAAAAGAATGCGCTCGCTATACCATATACCTTTAACATTTAATTAATTAAAAAGAGTATTGTATTATATATGTCAACATTGTATCACGTCGTGACTTGTAGCGCGATGCGTTACTATACTGTGCTGCGCCCTTAATAAGGCTTCTCCTGGCTAGATCGGCGAGATGCGCTACTGTGCCGCGCCGAGCTGCCATGAATTGACATCGTCAATTAAGTCGTGACCCCCACGGCCCCACGGTCGTATTTCACTATTATAGTAGAGTTTCTACTTGTATAGTAGAGTTTCTACTTGTAGCGCGATGTTCATGCATAGCCATGTGTCTACGCGAACTGCGTGACGCGCTTGTTTCACAAGTAGAATCTTTGCCGCCTCCGGCGGTCGCGCGCTACTGCAAGCGAGAGGGCTCTGGTTAGAGCAAAGCGCGATGCACTACTGGGTCGCGCGCGCATCCAATAATGCTTCTCGCAACCGTAGATCGGCGGGCTCTTACTAAATCGCTCGCCCAAAAATTTCACGTGACTTTGGTTTTTTTGGTTTTGCAGCCGTACAAAACGGTTTTACATAAACCCTAATCCCAACCCTAACCCTAACCATAACCCCGAAGCTATCCATAATCTTAACCACAACCCTAACCCTAACCCGAGCCCTAAATAATCAAATTCACGTTTTACTAGCCTGTCACGTGACCAAAACGGTTTTTTGCCCATAACTCTCCAGGGAAGCATTTTAACCCTACGTCATGGGGGGGGGGGGGGGGGGGGGGGGGGGTGATTCGGAATCAGCGTCCAAAAATTCACCGATCTAGATCACTTTCATGCCTAAAGGGCCTTTTCACAAGATTTTTCTTAAAATTTGGGCGAGCGATTTAGTAGGAGCGAGATCGGCGAGATGCACCACTGGGTTGCACCAAGATATATAGTAGGGGGTCGTTCACATATTACGTAATCAGCCGAGGGGGGAGGTGGTTTCCGAATGCTTACGGTTGATTACGGGGGGGGGGGGGGGGGGGGGGGGGTTCGGTCGTTGATTAAGTAATCAAAATTTTCTTTTTTACCCTCTAGAATAATAACAATTTGACAATATTTTAATTCAAATTACACTCAATTTCACTCTGATAGTTATAAAATTTAGAAATTGATCGAATATTCGGCAATAATAGTATTATAAGTAGTTTAGAAGGTGTAGTGGATATCATAACAATGATTTCGTCTCATCATGATAGCATGATCAGGGTAGCATGAAACAATAACTTAGAGAATAGTGTTTTCTAGGAAAAAAAGTAAAGGGGGGGGGGGGGCCATGATTACGTAATATTGCTGTCAGGAGGGGGGGGGGGTTGGGTCTTGATTACGGTTGATTACGGTAGGGGGAGGGGAGTAAAAATTGCTCAAACATTGATTACGTAATATGTGAACGACCCCTAGTTCTAAATAGTTCACAATCTAGAACTACATCTTGGTGACAATAATAGTTTGTTAGTTTACTACGAAGCCGTACGCATAGGTAGTTTTCCAAGAGCTGACATTCGTCTAAGTATAAATATAATGATCCACAAATTAGCATTCTCTGAATAAAACATACAGTTGATTGTAAAAAGAAATGGTCGAGCTTTAACATCAAATGTATGTTGACATAAAAATGCGAAGAAACATCTCATAACTTATCTGCTGTCGGGTTAAAAGCGGTTTTTTGTGACAGCACGCTGGCGAGTGTAATAGAGTACAAAAGAGAAAGCCCAAACTTGTGGTAATAAAGTAATAAATTAAGCTAAAATGATAATAAATTAAGCTAAAATTATGAATAATACCCAAGTCATTGTTGATTGTCATTCATCATTGTTCAAGTCGACCAAAAGAAACTTGTTCATCGATTTTTTAGATCGGAAGTGATATATTACTCATTTTGACCTTCAATAGAAGAATAGTACTTGTCGTCAAAAATGCAAATTCTAGCCCCACAAATATTAGCGTTTAAAAATAAAAAGCTTATAATAATAATTGCTCCTCAGTTGTATCAATCAACCCAATACTTTAAAAAAGATCTTGCCAGAATATGCCTAACCCCTTTTCTGTTTTCACTGGCGTGATAGACATACAAAATCCAACATTAAAAACTAAAACTGATAGTGACATCAATGACTGATAGTCATCAATTAGAATCCAGGGAAAGATTCCTCTTCTTGGGAGGTGTTAGGAATACTTTGAACTGACTCAGGGGCCGGTCTAGAGAGGGCTGCCACCCCATCTTCATCCACGGTGTCCAACTCATCAATATAGCGGATAGTAATACTTCCAAATGTAGCATTCTCAATCTGAAATAATAGACGTGTTATGAAAGGTAGCATTCTAAATCTGAAATAATAGACGTGTTATGAAAAGTAGCATTCTTAATCTGAAATAATAGACGTGTTATGAAAGGTAGCATTCTCAATCTGAAATAATAGACGTGTTATGAAAGGTAGCATTCTCAATCTGAAATAATAGACGTGTTATGAAAGGTAGCATTCTCAACCTGAAATAATAGACGTGTTATGAAAGGTAGCATTCTCAATCTGAAATATTAGACGTGTTATGAAAGGTAGCATTCTCAATCTGAAATAATAGACGTGTTATGAAAGGTCGGCAACTCTTCAGTACGTAACGATTATCATGAATGTGGAAGGTGAATGGGGATGTAATGCTAAAATTAGGTCTTCTAACACATTAAAATTTACTACGAAACATACCCCGTCTTCAGCTGCCAGATTCTCCCGTTTGTTGGTCCGATCCTCCACGTAAAGTCTATCCAATTTTTCTTGAAGTGTAAGCGAACTGATGGCGGAAGGTCGGTCGGTGCCCGCTTTACGTCTTAGAGCGGAATCTTCATCCAGCGACTTTGTTATTTGAGCTGATATCTCCTAGAAAACAATGTATTAAGATGTCTCTCTGTTTCAGTTTACAGGTTAGTAAAACCTTATTCAGCATATTTATAAGCTGATTGCTGAACAAGGTTACAAAGATATTGAGAGTAATGTTTATAAACACGGCATAAACTTTTTGACCCATCAATCATCATTGCATTTACTTAAGTAGAATAATTAATTTTTTCCCTACTCTTGCCGAAGGCAAAAAGATCGTAGGGAATAAGTAATCGGGTTTGTATATATGAGGTGGCCCGACGGCGCTACGTTGATGATAAAAGTCGGCTCCTTCGCAATATAGACCACTCCCCTATAATTATGTGTATAGGAAGCGTCTGTTATGCTGCGCGCGACGCTAGCCATATGTTAATTAATTACAGTGAAGCTCTAGCTCCTCCTTCGCAAAGTTATTTTCCGCAATTTTCTGGATTTATTTACTATTGATGCGCGGCGCTACATTGGTCAAATAAATCGTAAATTTTTACCATGCACGAATCCCACTCATTTATTAAAAAAAGTCTTGTACGTCGTGATTATATGTATGATATCTCATATCATGCTCCATCGAACGTGAGCTCACAACCTGTTCCAATATCCAAAACTTGCCTGGGTTTTGAGAGATGATATCTCGCAGCATTTAGATACGAGAGCTGGGGTCAGTGTGACACCACCTCCTAAGTAAATGTAACATATCTCGTGATGAGTGTTGGTTGCTATGGAAACGTAACCATCCATCACACTCTCCTGTAATAATAAGTTGGTTTATCACACTTATCACACATTAATCCACCTCCCAAAAACCGTTCAATCACACAACCATCCCCACTACATTTCCCTAGCAGTCCAAAATTTTGAGATAAGAATATAAAGCTGTGGCAGTAGGTACGAACCTCCTCATCGTCAGGATCTACAAGGATCTTCTCTCCGGAGAAGCCAATAGTGCAAGTAATGGGAACGTGTAGAACTGATAGGGGGATGGGGTCCCTGTCCTTATCACTGAACACGGTTATCTGAAATTATACTGGATGTTAGTAAACTCCTAGTTCTAGATCTGTTATTACGACAACCTCCCACTACAACTAAATGTTACAGGATAAAATATAACCAAAGTTTTAGCATAATGCTGGCCGCTCACTCAGTAAAAGGTGCTGAACATTCGGTTGTATTTTAACCACAATTTTGTTTGCAGAAACTCTCACCTCATCTCCGTTGACGATGAAATCAGGGCGTCTGAAATGTGAAAGGGCCGTCATGGCGGCGATACAACTAGCATCAATAACATTACCCGCAAAATCTAGCAGTGTTATGTCCACTCTGAGGTTTAGAACCTGCAACAAGAACACTGTTAATTTGTTAAGAAAAGCTAATGTTTACAATCCGATAAAACAAATTTTAAATAATACAGCGAACTTGAATCATCCAATCCCGCATCAACGTCGAACCGGAGTAGCCAAATTCTAGATTTCCCGGCATATTTAATTAAATTCAAACAGTTCCAGAGTTTGAAATCGCAGTGCAAGACACTGAGGTCTGAGAAGCTTTGGTTACCTTTTCTCCAGCCACAATACACAAACACTCAGTGTCAATAACACGTGTCTCCTTGATGGTGCGCTCCAGCAAACGGGTTACTACCGTACTGTAAATATAAATTGTTACATTTTAGTCCTAAGATCTGCAAAACATTTCTATAATGTTTAAATTTAACACTATCGATGCAATATCTCCTATAAGACACAAAAAGGTAGCATTCTGTCCATCAACTGCTGGACTTATTTCAATCAAAAAGATAACTGACCTGAAGTCGGATCGAGCGCCAGAGAACTTGCTAGAAGACAAGGGAGACAGATGAACGTTGAAGAAGAGAGCTCCTTCGTTAGGGCGAGATGGGGCAGGTGTTGCAACCGCCGTGGATACTCTAGCTAATACTCGAGTCCTGCCTAGTAAAACCTGGTAAGATCTGAGTTAGTAAATCAGTCCTGCCTAGTAAATATAACATATTGGCACATTTTATACAGGGTGTTTCAAGACTCGTGTCCAAATTTTGAATGGCTCTCAAAATCTAACAAATGAGACAAACGGTCTAATTTTTGTTTTAAATTGTAGACAAATTATTACATTTTAAAATACATAACAAAAATAAATCTAATATTTTAACAATTTTTCGAACCAAGCCCCCTTTCTTTATATTGACGATCCATAGATCTAGAGTCAGATCATATACTCCCAAATCCCGATTACGTAGTTAGTTGCAGCTTATCACCATTATTCGATATAGTAATCACATACAAACAAATTATACGTCACCCAGACACCTAGCCTTTTGCATAAACATAACGAAAATTAACAGATTATCCTTTTATCAGCCAACTCCTTAAAATGTAAAATAAATTGTCCGGTTTACAGAATCTCGTTAGTCGATCATAATGTATAATAATGATAGAGATGGGGTTGCGTCACACCTTTAAACAAGAGGCCGGTGTTGTCTAAGTTTAATTCCTGCTGGATTAGTCTCAACGCCACGATAATTGTTGTAAGAGCCCTTAAATATGTAGTAGGTGGTTTATGAATAGATTACAGTAGGATCAATTTGTTTGATTTCACCCGCACGTTGATGCAATCTTATAGATACCGTGCGTTAACCGTGGGTCAACAGTTGTGTGCTGACCGCTCATTGGATCTGCGTCAACCATGTGCTAACCGTGTTTGGAACGTGCGTAGGTAGATTACCGAATTACCTGTGGACACAGTCAGAGAACTCAGAACTGACCAGAATAGGTTTTGGAAAGTTTTGCGCAACTTCTTTCTAAGATTCTAATTGCAATTGTTATTTTGTTGCATCTACTGGAGGCGGGGGGATCAGGTACTAAGTGTAAAGTGACGTACGTGACGTCGACTAAGTGCAGTTTTGGACTTTACAAAAATGACCCACCCACCCCCTTTACGGTACTAACTGCTTTTTCGGATAATATTTAGGACACCCACCCCCTATTGCCGGCTTTTGCGGTACTAACTGTTGAGAAATCACGGTACTAACTGAGTCTTGGTATATAAAATAAGATACTCACCCATAAATTGCTTAAAACAGCTCATTAAACATTGGGAAATGGACAAATTATATCCACTATTTAGTAGGGGTTTTGTTTTCAATGAAGTCGAATTAGATAAAAAGTTACAAATAAATTTTAAAATGACAAAAAACCAAAAAAAACTCAAAAAAAAACCTCAAAACCCATTCCCAAAATTGAAATTTGAGGTAAAATGGGTTTTTTTGGGGTTGGACACCCAAAAAATGAACCCCTTAGTACCATGTACCAACTGTTTTTCTGGGAAATGAGCAGCAGACCCACCACTTAGTACAAGATTACTAACTGCGTTTTGGAAGAAAATATGACCCACCCACACGACGGGCCCCCACCCACCCAACGTCACGTACGATTCTGACCATATGATCCCCCCCCCCCCCCGCTGGAGGCAGTCATAACTAATAAGCTTATTACATTATTCTACAAAACTATTTTCCACCGAATTCGACTGGTAGACACTGTCAGTAAACTTATGCACAGTTTTTTAAAAAGGCTCCAAATGTTCTTACTTCAACTACACTCACAGGAAGTAGCGCTAAATGGCACACTTGAGCAGGGGCGGTCTCTCCTACCCTGACTTCCAACTGGGGCTCAGCTTCCTACTCTGTGTGTGTATCTCAACTGTGTTGAACCCTATAGTTATATACCACAACCGACACCCCACTTCTATCCCTAAGGTTATGTTCCTGACGGTGGCTGTTACTAATCTCATGATGGCACCCTACGTTGGGATTCATACCAGCTTCAAGATACTGAAACCTGAGGAATCGCCTTATTTCAACTTCACTTCGGGAGACAAATTTCTCCAGCTCTTGGCTAAAAACCATGGATTGCAAGGAGGGCTACAAGGAGAACTCCATACCAATACCACTTACAGGATGCCACATTATTGTTATTTTCATGAAGCTAGAACATTCAACATGGTGTTTGGAGCATTCGCCTGGATTTTCATTGCAATTCCATCTTTTCTGACCGGACTACAAACGTGTGTTAGATATTTGCAAATACGATATCCGTTCTGGCCTATCGAAAAAAGAAACGTAATTATCTTGATAACCAGCTACATTGTGTACGTAACAACATATCAATGCTGTATAATACTAAATAGTAGTATGTACTGGTTTGCTCTGGTACAGACAACCTGGTTCAAACGTGGACCATCAGATCGAATTCCTGAAATAGTTGCAATTACTTATTTCGCTCCCTGCATGATTGTCGAATGTGTTGCCGTCATAGCTTCGTTTTTAACTTCTTACGAGCTATGTGAAATGAGGAAGACGAACCTTGCTCAAAATCAGAGGAGAAACGTTAGAGGGACAGTGAAAATCTTGCTAGAGAATGCTTGTAATATCCTGTGTCTTGTTACGCAGCTGTCTGTTTTCATATCATATCGGGAGGCTACTGACACTGTATGTGGAATGCTAACCCCGGATCCAGTGAAAGTGAACGAGGGTAGTGTCTTGCAGAGCATTTCCTTCACTGTGGGACTTCCAGTTCTCAGCTGCGCTATCCACCCTTGTATATACATAGCACTAACCCCAAAGAGCGTGCAAATCTTAACGAATTATAAGGAGAGTATTGGCCGTCAATTAAAGGAGAAGATAGAGAGTTTGGGATGGTGGAACAGGAAGATACGGGTAAAGGGTAAATCAACGGTCTCACCTCATCCCACAATAGAGGGAAATGCTACAAATCTAGCGTGTGTTAGTGATATGATCTCAGTTGAGACACGTTTATAATGGAATTATATGGAAAAGGAAACAAGAATAATAACCTCTGCGTGACTGTTTTATAAAATAAATCTTGGTTGCTTAGTGTTCACTGGAATGCTCAATGCAATATTTTCACAAGTTGCAATGCATGCAGCGAGCAATGTAAGTTAAATCGCATCTACCAAAAACAAATAATCTTCCCCGATTAATTCATATCCTGAATATTTGTGGGGAGGTGACCCATATTTTTGTTTTATGACAGCGATCGGTCAATTCCTTCATTTTCATTATGTTATTATGTTATAATACAATTATAATACCTTGGCTGTTGAGTGCTACGGGCGATAATACGAGCCCGAGCACGAAAATTAGCAAAGGTACTATTTGTTATAATTTTTTCCGGTTCTGATTGGAAGATGTGTATATATTGGAATATTATAACGTATCTAATATAACAAGAAGGCATTTTTTATATTAGCCTTGCTTTCTTTGAAAAGTTTTACATTTAATAACATGAGTGAAGTTCCTGTGTCCCTAAACTTGCGGAAGTTTAAATCACCTCAGTTCTCAATGCTTATGAGTTTCTCCTTTGATAAGTTGAGAGGATCCCCAATGGTTCAGGACCTCAAATCCTTCGAAAAATAAATTATAACTTAACCTTATGTTTCGTGTGTTAAAGTCGTGTTAAAGTTGATGACGTGGTTTCAGTAAAATGGCAACAGTATATATATATATTATATATATATCAATATATCATATATCAATATATATATAAATAATATATATCGTCTCGCTTTATTTTTCAAAAAAGTCACACTTTCTGTGGTAAACCCAGTGTATGTACTGGTTTGCTTTGGTACAGACAACCTTGGAAAATGTATCTGATAAAAGCATCTGATAGATATCGCTCCCCTTTGATTCACGATGTCAATCCTTTACCACTGAGCCTCGCCGAGCTGTGAAGGATTGACATCGTGAATCAAAGGGGAGTGATATCAATTAGATGGTTTTATCCGTACCGCGACAATTGACCCCCCCCCCCCCCTCCCTGACAATTGACCCCCCGACAATTGTCGCCCACCCGGTTTTATCAGATACAAGTGCTGAGTCGCACTTTTCACAACATTTTGGCGTACTTATATGTTGGCTCTGGTATATTAATATTTTACACGGCTTCCCAATCTTCTTGCGTTATATTTATTAAAAACGCTGAGAGATGAAGCTGAAAGTTAAAAGATCCTACGTTTCCCTATAAAGTTTCAACAGTCTGCCCAGACACGTGCTTCTCTCACTAAGCATTGTATGATCCTCAACAATTGATGTGGGTGGGGACTGGAGCACTACTATACCTCGAGTTCTCGGTCCATAGAGCAGCAGTTTATTTACTACTATAGAGTGCAATGAAGACAAATAAACAGCACGTGAACCGCTGAAACATCACAGGTTTAGCATCCGGTTTTCAGTCTACCAGTTAAAAACAATAAGGGAGCTCTCTGAAAGACCATAAAGGAGTCCTATAAACAATAAATACCATCTGGAGAGTTGTCGAAGTGGTGGATGGTGGAACAGGTGGCATATCTATATTATATTTTAAACTTGACGAAATCTTACCGGCAGCGGCAAAAAACTGAAAATTGAGGGGTTTCTAGTAGTAAATAGTCATAGTAAAACAGCTGGTATATAGTATATTAATATAGTAAGACAAACAATTAGAGAGTATTGAGCTGAGAGAAAACGAAGGCTGGGCTGCAGTAGTACGTATCTGGGCATTCGAGGTCCCCATATTCCAAAAAATTCTAACAAAAATGCTGTGCCATCTCATTTAAAAGAACTATACTAAAATATTACTCTTACTTCAGAATGCATTACTTCATATTATTAATATTACTCTTACTTCAGGATACATTACTACATATTATTAATATTACTCTAACCTCAGGAAATCTCCGTCCACAACCACGGCGACTCCACATGGAAAGAAGGCATGAACCACTTTGCTGACATGACAGACGATGAACGTCACTCCTTCCTTGGTCTGAACGTGACCAACGTTCAGAGAGTGGAGAAAAGAGAATCTGAGGAAGAAGAAGGATCAGACGAAAGAGCAGACGATGAACCTCTTGCCAGGTCCTGGATAACAGTTGGAGCGGTTACTGAGATCAAGAACCAGGGATCCTGTGGGTCCTGCTGGGCGTTTGGAGCCATGGGAGCCCTAGAGGGTGCCTACAAGCTCAAGACTGGTGTTCTGCGAAACTTCGCAGAGGAGCAGATGCTGGACTGTACCTATTCGGATAGAGATGGTTGTGGTGGCGGGTGGATGAGGGATGGTGTGGTTTCAGTTCGAGTGGCTGGAAAGCTAGCTAGCACTGCTGATTATCCTTACCGAGGTGCTGATGGTGCTTGCAGTTTAGAAGAATATCCCAACTCTATGGTTGGTGCTGACGTAAGGGACTACGTTGAGATAGAGGAGGGTGAAGTTCACACAATCCGTGCTCTGTCTCTGAGACCCCTAGCAGTGACGATCAATGTCCGTGACTCCTTCTTCGCCTACACTTCCGGGATTTACCGGGACAATACCAGAACTAGGTAAGATGGGCAGGTTTTCTTATTTTTGCTTTTCCACCACTCAGTTTAGTTAGTCTGTTTATATTTGATTTGGATTTTTATTTTGATTTAAGCTTTATTGACCGCACAATACAGCTGTTAAGTATTTTAACCATGTCTAATCCCAGTTTTCCGAACCACGCGCTGACCGCAGTAGCCTACACCGAACAGTACACCCTGATTAAGAACTCCTGGGGATCAGAGTGGGGAGATGACCGTTTCATTAAGGTTGCGAGAAACTACGATGGGTGTTCTTTCCACAGGTAATAAAATACAACCATATAAAGAGTGTCACGTGACTACCGTAGTGTCACGTGTCTACCATAGTGTCACGTGACTACCATAGTGTCACGTGACTACCATAGTTTCACGTGACTACCGTAGTGTCACGTGACTACCATAGTGTCACGTGACTATCATAGTGTCATGTGTTAGGTCTGTAGGTCACGTCGTTATGAATGGTTGGTAAATTACCTTCTTTGAGCACTTTCTAATGTTGACCCTTTAAAAGTTTAAACAACCCACAATATAATGAAATAGTGTTTCGTAACGACTGAACACACAACAACATTGCCGCAGGTTTGTAGGATACGGGGTGCTTGCTAGGATAGAAGGTAGGGAAGACAATAACGAATCAGACAGGGCGACTGACTATAACGCTGGGGACGACGAGGGTCCTGGTCCTGATCCTGAACCTTGTGTGGAGACTTTCACAGGTTACTTTAGTTACTTGATATAGAGATGTTTTTGTGCAATATCTGGATTATTCCGTGTTTGCGACAAGTAATAATGCTCTTTTTTAGTTTTTTAGGAATATAAAAGGGTTAAGATGTTTGGTATATCGAATCCACCTCAATATTGCTGACGCTGTTATAATATTATAACATTTCATCAGTTTAGCTTGCCAAATATCATAAATTTCTGATATTCGGTCAACCATGTTCAAACGACTCCTTCATAAATATAACCCCTGGTATCACCTCCAGGTTGCAAAGAGAAGTTCTGCAAATACTCGCTGATAAAAGAGGCTTGTCCGAGAACATGCGGAGACTGCGATGACGATGCCGATGGAGACTGTCCTTCAGGAACCATCCGTTGCGATGATGGGGTGTGCCGTCACGAGCACATGTACAAAGTTCAGTTTTCTAAAGATACACTTTTGGAATGTCTTAATTATTTGATTGATAATTCTTATGTTACTTATCAGGGTCAAATTTATATATTCGACACTTAAGGGTTTCAAAAATTGTGTTACCGAACTTTTAGGTAAATTGGTTGCGCAAGGATTTAAGTTAGCTGCTTTGCGCAACAAGTTTGTCAAGTTTTATAAATCAAGATTAAATATTTGGGGTAAATATGGTAGTGATATTTATGATGAATTTATTGAAATGTTTCAATCACCTAATATTATTTTGTAATTTGTATCGACATATATCGTTTTTCAGTTATATAAGTTACCTAATATCTATTAATTATTCTAGTATTTGTGATTAATTTGTATTGATTTATTATTTGTGACTTATAAATTAGTAACCATTATTTTACCGTCTAAAAATTTTTTTTTGTAAAAAATTAATTTTATGAAGGAGTAAGTTGACAAAAGATGCGCATTCGTATATTCATTTATTGCATGTTTAATTTGTTTTTTGTGTTTAATTTACGATTATTTGCATTTGAGATTCTGCGATTAAATTTATTTTGTTGATTGTAATGTTGTGATATTGCATAATTTATTGTAAATGTAATATATGTTTCAGAAAATTATGTAATGTAATGCGATGGAGGTTCTTTAAGCAGGCAATTCCAGTCCAAACCCTGGAAACATGACATAAAGGATTTGTTTTACTTGTTGCATGAAAAGCACTAATAGACAAGTTATTGGAATACCAATGGGTACCAATGCAGCACCACAAATAGCTAATGTTTATTTACATGTTTACAAATATAAATATATATTCCTCCTCAGATTTGTCGCGGAGAATTGAAAAATCGCGATTTGGCAAACGTCAAAAATCGCGATTTGTCGCGGAGAATAGGGAAAATCGCGATTCCCTACGTGCCGCGATTTCCTTTTGACCTTGCACCACTTTAACCTGAACCACAAAAATTATCTTGGGTTCGAATTACATATTGTATGATTATTGATTACATGGCTCCACTAAAATGTGACAAGAAAAAAAAAGTTGATTAAGTTAGGCGGGCAACTGATGCACCGTTTGTTTGTCATTGAAAAACGGTGTAAAAAGTTGTATTTTCAGTTTCTCGTCGATATTTAAATTGTTATCAAAATATCGTATCTAAATGTATATTTCCCTTTAAATCTATCTTATCAAAATCTATGTATACCTTTAATGACTTTAGAATTTTTTAACGTGTCCTTCTGCGTTTGCTATTTCATTCCGATAATCATTACTTTTTAGTGTTTATACACTATGACTCACACGGTCCCTTCCCCTCAGTAAAATGTTAATACGACTGTCATGCATGGTTCTATGCCTGACAGTTTCGCACTGCCTGGTTGATCGTCCAAACATCATAATAATGCTGATGGATGATATGGGCTGGGGTGACGTGGGGATCAATGGAAACTGGGCTAAGGAAACCCCTTTTATCGACAAGATGGCGGCAGAAGGTATGTTGTTCATGGACTTTTACACAGCTAACCCGCTCTGTTCCCCCTCAAGAGCAGCTCTGATGACGGGGAGACTACCTATTAGAAATGGATTTTACTCAACGAACGCTCATGCTAGGAACGCTTTCACTCCTCAGACTATTGTCGGTGGTATTCACGAATACGAGCAGCTCCTTCCTGAACTCTTGAAAGAGGCTGACTACAAAAGTAAAATAATTGGAAAATGGCACCTTGGACACAGGAGACAGTTCCTTCCCTGCAAAAGAGGATTTGATGAGTTCTTTGGCTCAGGAAATTGTCATTTTGGACCATATAACGATGTTAAAACACCCAACATGCCAGTGTACAAAGACGACAAAATGGTTGGAAGATACTACACCAACTTCACCATTGGAAATGATGGACTGTCCAATGTAAGCCAAATCTTTCTCCAGGAAGGTCTTTCATTCATCGAAAAGGTGCACTCTGATGGAAATCCGTTTTTCCTTTACTGGACACCGGACGCGACACACGGTCCCAACTATGCCAGCCCAATGTTCCTCGAGAAAAGCATCCGAGGAAGATACGGAGATGCTGTGATGGAAATGGACTACTGTGTAGGCAAGATCTTAGAGAAGCTGAAGGAGTTAGGGATTGACAATAACACTTTTGTCTTCTTCACGTCAGACAACGGGGCAGCTACCTATAGAGGTTCAGCAGGCGGAGACAATGGTCCTTTCTTGTGTGGAAAAGAGACAACATATGAGGGAGGGATGAGAGAACCAGGGATAGCTTGGTGGCCTGGTTCAATCCCTGCTGGAACCATTACTCATCAGCTCGGAAACATCATGGACCTTTTTACTACCAGTCTAACTTTGGCGGGGGTAAAACCGCCTCAAGACAGAATTATTGACGGCATAGACCTGAGTCCAGTTCTACTGGACCAGTCAGTCCCAGTGATAGACAGGCCTATATGGTATTACAGAGGTAACGAGATGATGGCAGTGAGGGTGGGCGCTTACAAGGCACACTATTGGATGTGGACTCAGCACGGACAAAACCCAATGAAGTTCACTTTCTGCAGAGGCCAATACATCAAAAATGTTACAGTTCACGACCAAATAGATCACACGGATAAACCGATACTTTTCAATGTTAATAGAGATCCAGGAGAAAAGTATATTATCGAAAATAAAAGTAAAGAATACAAAGCTGCCATGGCAACCATCGATCCCATCGTTAAAGAGCACAAAGCAAACTTGGTACCAGGAGTGCCGTCCCTAAACTATTGCGATGTTGCAGTGCAAAATTGGGCTCCACCGGGCTGTGAGGACCTTGATTACTGTTTGCCTGTACCTGATTCTAATCCCAAGCTTTGTGTGTGGCCTCACTGATGCGATAGAAGAGAAGTAACGATCCCCAAACTGGGAAGCTACACAGAAAAAGCTTTAAAAGAGTTTTTTGAAGAGACATTTTAAAATGGGTGTATTTTTTGTTGAAATTTTAAATTGAGATTTTGTTTAATACGATAAAAATGTGTTATGTCACTTTTAACCTCTAAACTCCGAAAAAATTTTTTTTTATTTAAAAATTTGTATCCACACTTGTATATATACATAGCACTAACCCCAAAGAGCGTGCAAATCTTAACGAATTATAAGGAGAGTATTGGCCGTAAATAAAAGGAGAAGATAGAGAGTTTGGGATGGTGTAACAGGAAGATACGGGTAAAGGGTAAATCAACGGTCTCACCTCATCCCACAATAGAGGGAAATGCTACAAATCTAGCGTGTGTTAGTGATATGATCTCAGTTGAGACACATTTACAATGAAATATGGAAAAGGAAACTAACCTCTGCGTGACCCCACTGAGGTCCAAAACTGATCTTGATGTCTCTGTAATCATATCCTTCTCGGGCGTCAGGCCGCAGACCCTCCTTGAGGACTGAGGAGAGAAACTCCCGCGAGTTTAGGGACAAAGGAACTTCTCTCATGTCATCACATCATTTCACTTTCTTGTAGATAAGGACATGTTACATTTTAAGACAATTATAATGGGTGGGTATCAGTCCCAGTTAGGTTACATTATTATTTCTTTTCAATACTTTCATAATTTAAATAACTTGATTTTATCATAATATCATTTATATGCCAGTATTTAGAAGATGCTATAGAATTAGATCATAAATATGCTGATATGAAGATGAATATCACTTTGTTCAATGAAATTGATAATAGGTCAATACATATTATGAAATTAATAAAACCGTTCTTCAAATAATCTCAGTCTGTTGATCTCCTTGTCACGTTGTCCTCAAATGAACAACAATTATCTTGAATAATGCCTAGTTTATCAGAAGGCAGGGAGACTCCGGAGCGGCTTCAAGTTTAAAATATGATCGGAGCGAGTCTGACTGTTGGAGCACGTGGCGAGCCCTTACTCATCCTGCCTTCATACTTTGATTATCAACACGGGTAGTCTGATCATGAAATTTTCAACTTTTGTAGTTTCTGGTTAGCATCAAAACTTCAAGCTAAAACCAGGACCCTTAGCACTGGAACCTTGCAGTGCATTAAGGAACTTAAATCCAGACTGGATTCCAGAGTTCTCTAGTTTGTCAGCAGCTCCTCCACCCTCGGGAGGAGTCGGGGATTTAATCTTCTTTTTAGGGTTCGCATTCATCTCGCTCTTAGCAGGCCAGGTTGGGAACATAGTCGGGTCCACTGGTAATGGACCTTCTTTAAACCATTGGTGGTCGTATGATTCAGCAGCGGTGATTCGCTTTGCTGGATCGTAGCACAACAACTTGTTAAGTAAGGCGAGACCCTGAAATAAATTTCTGGTAAATTTCCAGAGTTCATACAAACTACATAACAGGGACATACAAATCAGGAATGTATGTCTAAGGTTTTCTTCCTACGAGAAAAAAAATCAAAACAACAAGTCGATATACTCCTCAAACTCACCTGTTTGCTGAGTACAGTAACAGGGTATCTGTTTCCAATTTTGTTGTAGGGATGGTTGACGAATGAGACACGTTGAGTAGCTGGGAGTTCAGAGTAACCTGGCCATATTCTCTCGTTGGGAGTTCCTGAAGACATTGTCAGGTGACAAAGAGTTACACAAGGCCGGACCGACCAGCACCAATTCTAAACCAGTCAAATCCGGCCACCGCCCACCACCCAAAGTCTTGCTGAATCTTCTCAGAATTAGAATTCTAATTTCTAGGGATGAATCTTATTGGAACGATGTAATGGCCCTTTTACGAACGAATAAAAGAAAATAATAGATAAGTTCGATCGAAAAAGAGGTGCGTGCACACTGCGCGCGTCAAAATAAATATACTCTTAGAGAAAATGAGAAGTCGCGGCATCCGTAAGTAACAGTTAAACAGTGGACCGCCTGGCGAATATGGCAAACAGCATGGTTAAGGCGGAGGGCGCCAAACCGATAATGAATAAGATATTGTAGCATTTGCATTCTTACCTAATTCTTTGAAAATCTTGTTTATTTGGTCTATCTCACTCTTGCCAGGGAACAATGGTTTCTGACTAAGTAGCTCTCCGAATACACATCCCGCACTCCAAACATCTGATAACAAAGACATAAAGAAAATCACTACATACAGATCAAAGATTATATCAAATTAGACTAATTATTCAAATCAAATTCCCTAAAATATGATATCACATCCGCCAATAACCATCTCAATATAATGATTTGTAAACTCAAATAAAAGGTTTTGTTGGCAGTAAAGAGAACAATTACCTATAGGCACAGAGTACAGTTTACAACCGAGCAGGAGTTCAGGAGCTCTGTACCAAAGTGTAACAACAATCTCAGTGTACTGTTTTAAAGGTGAGCCATACTCCCGTGCTAAACCAAAATCTCCTATCTTCAATATACCTCCTAAAATTAAGGAGCTTAAACAAAGAATTAGAGCCCAAATGAGACAGCATGAATAAAGGAGAGAAACGATTGTTGATTAAAGCCTATTTTTGAACTTAAGAGACTTAAACTTAGAGACTTTAGAGAGATATTAACGAAACAATAGACTGTTAACTTTGCTTAAAAACAGAACTTTACCATGACTGAAAAGTAAGTTGGAAGATTTGATGTCCCTGTGTACTATCCAGTTATCATGTAGAAATGCTAATCCACTCATTAACTGCCTCATTATCGTCTTTATCTGCAATTAACAAGTCGTCATTAAAAATATGTCACTCGTACTTTACAATATAATTTATATATAACAGATGAAACGAATCGTAGTTAATCAATCATATTTAATTATAATTAATCGTAGTTAGTTAATTAATCGCAGTTTATTAATTGTAGTTAATTAATTAATCGTCGTTAAAAAGTCACAACGGGTACATTATTATCAAGCTTAGTACGAAGATGAATTGTAAAAAGTACCTCTCCAATAAGAAATGGTTCCTTCATGTTCTCCATGAGAGATTTAAGATCGTGTTCCACATAGTCCATGACAATGTAGATCTTGTCCATGTTACTGCCCACTACTATCTCCCGGACATGGACCACGTTCTCGTGCTGGCCCTGAGGTGGCGGTATTTTTAGTTGTTTTGCCAGACTGGTAGTTTTAACTATGTGCCCATACGTGCATTTAAAACAAAATTACAATGTCAAGTTTAACTTTCAGATTAACATATGTGGGTTTTACCAGCAATTTGACATGGCAATTTCTCACAGAGTTTTTAAATATGTCACCTCGTAGTAAATTATTTCTTACCTTCAAAAGGGTATTAATTTCCCTGAGTGAAGTGATCGGAAATCCCTGTTTTTCCTTCTCCATTTTAAGTTTCTTCAGTGCAACATGTTCGTTTGTTCTCTTATCACGTGCTCGGAACACCACCCCGTAGGTTCCTTCTTCTATACGATTCAAATATTCAAAATGATCAACGTTCCTGAAAATATTAGATTATTGTTTTCAAAGGTAAAGTAACAATTCAAATAGAATTGTTTGGCAGAACTTTCTGAACATGTTGAGTTGAGTATAATGAAAGAAGGCAGCCAGGCAGGCTCCTAACCTGCAGCCTTGGAGAGCAGGGTAATAAGGAGGTAATCCAGCGAGGGGGTCAGGAGGAGGTGAGGGAGAGGGAGTGGGACGCAGGGCTACTGGGGAGGGTTCAGCTTCTACCAGGTCTTCATCAGACCCCTCCTGAGTGTACATGTCTGTTATCGAAACTTACTTAACTGTGATATAATGAAACTTAGAAAACATAACTGTAAGTTATATTACGTGTGATACAGATTGTTAAGACGAATTTATGAGCAAATGGATAAATATGGATTACTAACATTATCACTGCTTTCTGAACTATCAATAAGTAAACTCTTCTTCTTGGCTGCCATGGTGGAGACAGTGGCGCTGCTGATTGTAACCTCCTCTGGTGACTGTGGTGATGGACCTGCAATCAGTGTAGAGGTAACTTTACTAGTAATATATATAATGAATATTAGGTGACAACAAAATATAAGTTACTGATCTAGTTAGACACACATGTGAAATACAGATTTATTGATAACTATGAATCTAATATAATATGCACTATTTGGGGGGACAAAGGAACTTACCAGATAATTTCTCTTTTAAAAGTTGCTCGTACTTCTCCTGGGTTGAGGCTGGCTGCTTTTCTTTATTCTTTCGTCCCTATAAAATACAAATAATATTAGAAATTTGTTTGTCACAACAAATGATTTTTTATTGATTTTGAAGGATAGTGTTGGTGTTTAATGTTTATTTTCAGTAGAAGTCAGTCCATAAATTATGGTGCAGAACAAGAACGAAAAGATTGTTGTTCAGAAAACTTAAATTTGGACCCAAGAAACAATTATTTAATTATAGTTTACCCTTTCCGAGAGAGTGGAAAAGGCACGCTGGACAATGCTAGGTCATGTTCTACGCAGTGACAACGACACGCCTGCCTATTAGTCTCTGTTATTTGCTACACTAGGATGTCAAACGCTAAAGGGACGAGTGGGTAGACACAGGACTAATTTGTATGATATTATTGTGAAAAAGGACCTATTTAAGAGACAAATTTATTTGAAAAATGAAGATGATTTTACCAACTTAGTGAACTTAGCAAGAGATAGAGTAGGATGGAGGAGTTTATTTACTTTGAGACATATTGAACAAATGAGTCTTCGTAAGCGTAAATAGGCCAGCACTTTGCTGAGCCTCTTTAGGTGCTCTTTTGTTTATAGATGTTATTATATAGTTTACCTCTTTCTTTTTCTTCTTTACAGGATCCTTCTTATCTTTCTTCTCTTTTCTGTCTGAAGAAGAACTGGGAGATACTGTATCTCTCCGCTTGTCTTTCTGTATTTCTTCAGTAATACTCCGTATTTCTTCGCGAATTTCTTCCTCTCTAGATGTCTTCACTCGTTCTCGTTCGTCATCTGATCTTTTCTTTGATGCTTTCTCTTCTTTCACTTTCGGTTTCTCTTTTAATGAGCCGTCTTTTCTTTTTTCTTCCCTTAATTCCTCCTTTCTTGGCATTACCTGAAATGATATCAAAAGTTAATGAAGACAATAAAAAGAATTGATATTCCTAAACAGAGACCACAAGTCATCTTACAAGATAGGGTAGATTAAAACATCTTAAAGTTTTTAAAGATTACGTGTTAAAGTTTTTAAAGATTACGTGTCACTACGTATACACAGATCTAACCCTGTGATCATCTCTTACACTGGATCTTTTACCCCCAGCATCGTCCTTCCGGTAATATTCTGAGTCTCGCTTGTCCACACGATCATAGTCTTTTCGATCTTCTTTGTCATATTCTCTCCTATGATCTCTCTCATATTCTTTCCTGTCCCTATCATAGGCTGACCTATCTTCTCTTCTGTAATCTTCTTTTCTGTAGTCCTTATATTCGTCTCTTCCTAGCTTACTGAAATCTTTCTCGAGTCTGTAAAAGTAAAAACAAAGTGACATTTGATTGAGGTTACAGAAATTTTATACTCGATATGATTAAATCCAACACGGTTTAACCTGGAACACCAAGCATGATGTGGAAAGAAACAATGAACAGAGGATCAAAGTTTTTTGGTTTGCTGGATTTAAGTATAAAAAAACCTTGAGCTGGATGAGCAGCATTATAATTAAAGGGATGCTAAATATTACTGAATGGAGTGCCTATTAGTATGTTCTTGAAAATGTATGAAAAAAATTAATGATAACACTTACTTTATCTTCTTTTCTGCTTTATAGCTTCTTTTGTCTTCTGTTGAACGCTTTGAGCGATTAATTGATGTCAGATCAGGACTCTTGATTTCACCTGGCTCACTATCATCTGACATCTCCTATAAAAATATAAATAATAAATAAATTATAGTATTTATTTACATTATTATCATTTTTAACATGCATTAAAATAATCTAAGGAGAGCTCTCTTAAAACATCCCAAAAAGGTACATTTCCGCCGTCATCAAAGACTGACCTAGTTTTAAAGAACAGCATAATGCACCTAAATAAGAAAAGAAAATTTGTGGGAAAAGAAAATTATATTCTTCATCACCAATCTACCAATCTTACTACCTATGCATAAGTGAGGCGATATTTATTATTTATATATCTGTTCCCATTTTACTTACACCACCATCTCGTGTTGGTTTTGCAATAGTGCTGAATTTTAATGTAAGGTTTTTGCATCAATCACATTGTGTGCTGTTTGCCTTTGTATAAGAAAATATAAAATATTCTGTCTACCATGCCCTTGATTGTAAATTAGGTGGATACGTTTCCATGCGCCACAATGCCATACGAGACACTGCTGCTTTAATCCTCCAAGAAGCAAAGTGTAAAGATGTAAGCTTAGAACCAACACTTCTGATAGTCCAACCAAGCTCATACTCAACACCAGAGCTAGTGAGTAGTGGGTCCGAGGCTGATACTTGTGGTCAGCACACCCGGGGTCGGTAACGGCAGCAGTCCATTGGATGGCTGCTGGCAAGAGCTACTCACTCCCTGGCATTGCCAAATGCCATCTCCCTGAGGTCCAGTTATAGTACAAAGTTTAAACTTTTAACACTGTTAGTTCCCCCGTTACTAGTCCAAGTAACGGGCTAGAACTTGACCAAACAGCTGGTGAAACACCTGTAGACCACCGGAACCTCAGGCTCTATTGTCCTTCTCAACATCATTTAATGTTATCGTGAGATTTTGTAATTGCTTAAAATTCATGTTTAGGAAGGAAAAAAAAAGAAAGAAAATTACAAAAAAAAGTTAAAAACAAAAAAGAAAAAAAAAAAAAAAAGCACAAAATGGAAAAACCAAGAAAAGTATCTGTGACTGAAACAGCAGTATTTTAAGATTTATCCCTTTATTATATATTTATTCGTTATCATAGCAGCATAGACTGCCGGTGCAAAGATTCTCCATCCTTAGTAAATAATTACTATTTATAGTGTTACCACTTACCATACCCATTGTATTAGTAATTACATTGTAATTGAAATTATATTATATTAATATATATCCTTGTATTTGGTGTTACTTGTCCCCCAGTTAATTCCCCTTCTTGCCTCTCGTCTGTAAAAAGCTGTTATCCTTCTCTCCTAGTTCTTGGTATCTTGACTAGGTGCAATTGACACCTAGTGGTTTTCTTATCGGGCGTGGACTGACCCGCAGAAGTCCCCTAATCTTAAGTTGTGGACTCGTGGCGAAAGGATGTGTGGCCATGGGTTAAATGGTTACTAACGGGTCTACTACCCAGGAGGTAGCTACCTGGGGAGCTGGGCGACGCGGGGCAACGCTCAGTGCTCTGTTTTCCCTGCCAACTCTCTAGGGGGTGTTAAGTCCCCCAGTTATGATATGAATTCTCTCCCAAATTTTACAAACTCTCCTACTCTCCCTACTAATGGGACAGAGCAGGATCAACTACCTAACATCGCCCCTCCAGCTCGCCGTGAGAGGAAGGCTCGCACTGAGACTTCCACTCGTCACACGTGGAGCAAGGAGGACAACATACAGCTCATGACGCTGTATTATCAGAGCCGACCATCCCACTCTGGTTACAGAAGGAGACTCCGGTCACTGTGGGATGACGCTGGACTCTTTACCTGTACGGAACAAAGATTGGCAGACCAAGCAAGGTCAATCAGAAATAACAATCTCCTTTCAGACATAGAACTACTGGAGATTCGAGGAACACTCCCAACTAGTGTAGTGGAAGAGACTCCAACAAGTACAATTACAAGTCAAGCCTTACCCACTGTCTCCCAAGCTATCAGGACATTGAGGGATGCAAGTATCCCAACTGTCGCCGCTGAAGAACTCACCCCCACCGCAATGGTACCTGATATAGACAAGGAAGCAATCACTGAACGGCTTAATGCACTCCTTGAAGACCCATCAGTGATAGAAACCAAACCTCTTAGACACGTGAACAGGAAGAAGCTTATGGAGGAAACATCTCTCATTAACTCATGTATAGCAGAGATTCATACTTCTTCAATCACTGAAACCAACACTCTATTGCTAGCAGGAGCACATTTAGTCAGTGAAAGACTTGGTGAAAAACCTACAAATAAGAATACAGAGAAACGGAAAACGCCACTCTGGAAAAGAAGAATCGAAGATAAGATTACCCAAGTTAGGAAAGACATCTCTTATCTCGAGGAAAAGAAGAAAGGTACTGCCCTTAAACAAAAAATACTGGAAAGGCTTAACAGACGACATCCCCTGTTGAAGAAAAAGGGCATACCATGCATCATCGAAGAGCTCAAGCAACGTCTCCGTGCAAAAGCTGCTAAGATAAAGAGATTTAACAAAAGATGTGAACGATTCCACCAGAACAAGTTATTTGGAAACAACCAGAGGCAGTTCTATAGAAACCTTAAATCAAACCCTGAAGAGCATGATATCTCCCACCCTGAGGCTGACAAGGAATCTTGTGTAAGCCGTGACCGGGCAAGAGATATGGTCTATAGTAAGAGATTTTCCATTAAATTATTGTACCAGTATAGTAAGGTTCTATGAAAGAACATATTTTGTAAAGTTGTGTAAGCAGTGATTAATTGAGATGAATTTAGGGTAATATTGTGTAATATGTAGATAGTGTAATGATTATAATAAGGCGGTCGTGGTGTCCAGTATGTGACGGTAGTATTTTGGGCATATATTAGTATACGACAGTTATTGCAGTTTAAGTGCAGAGAGGTCAGTTTAACATATGTTTGGGTCAGTACGAGGTTGAGTTATGGAGTGTTTACAGAATACTAGTGTTACAATGTTGTGGCTATCGACAGGACAGTTTGCAATTCCCGGGAAATGGTAGATTGTTTAGACTATCAGGGGCGAGAGGAAAATACGATTAGCCTTTTGAGATAGAGGAGTGCCAGTTTGCCCGATCGAGGGGGGGGGGGGGGTCATTTTGATACCGGGCAGGTTCTGTAGCTAGAACCTGTTAAGGTTAGGTCGTTCAGTTAGGTAGATGGTTATAGTGGTCAGTATAAGATTGGCGGCCGTAGAATAGTGGAGCATTACGTAATTACTGTTATCAGGCTTGGTTGTGGCCGACACCAGGGGATGTCTTGACAACACTGGGCTCTGGCAGAGCGGGAGTCAGCGCTGGTTGACTTAGATAGGTAAAGCTAGACTAAGAGTAGGATTAACGGCAGGAAGTAGGTTGCGTAATATTTGAGGCAGTATGAATCGGAGCAATTAGGAATTTGTTGCACAGCATTTGAGGCAATATGAGTCTAAGTGACTAAGCGTTGGTTGAGCAAATATTCGATTATTCATTGTTCAGTTAAGTACCTTGGGCACCTTTATTATACCCCTTGTTTGCATTCTCGCCCTATTCGATAGAGGGTCATGGTTGATACCAGACTAGTGTAAGGGACCAGGACCAGTTATGGTTGGGGCCTGGTGAGCACGGATGGAACGTGTCGTTAGAGGTTTAGAATCGACAGTGGTTATTTCAGGGCACCTAGATTAGGCACGGTCAAGGCGAGTTGACCGTGCTATCCGTGTTTTACGTTGCAGCACTAGATCGCTGAGCGTTTATGGGCGATACGAGTCTGGTTAATTAGGATTTGAAGTAGAGGTTGTCGAATTATTCATTGTGTTGTTTCATAGTTTAACTTTGTTTACCCTTTATTATCACGCTCGTTTCCATTGTCCAAACCCTTAATTAAATGCAAATAAACTTCGAACCGGGAAGCAAGTGTCCACTGCTTACAAGTGGCGCGAACGGTAGGATCCTATTTTATTATAGGATAGTTTGTTTTGTATTTTAATTAAGGTAATGGAGACTATTTAGTATGTGAGAGTGAGTCAACAGAGGTCAGGAGTATTTGTAAATATGTACGTAGACGTAATATTATACAGTGTTGTCAGTTACCGTTGCTAGATTAGTGCAGTGCAAGAGCAGTAAAGGAATGCTCGGTGAAGTGTGGAGTTTAAATGGTATTTTTGGGGTTTCTTTCATCATGGAGGGGAAATGGGGTTAGATACCGGAGAGGCACAGGTTATGAGGGGTTATTTTGAGGAGTATATGTCCGTCCGTTGAGGGATTGGTTCGAGAGAGTGTTTTAATGAGTTGATTCAAGGATAACCGGGTCTTATTTTAAGTTTTAAGACGGCAGACTTGACATACTTTCAGCCACCAGAGCCTCAGTGGGAGCCCAGTGACATAAAGTGAGGAATCTAAGAATCTAATTCCTAGCCATATTAATTTCCATAGCCACGCCGACTAATTTTTGTCAACAAAATTATTAAATCAACTTTTAAATAGTCGCTCTCGGTTGTTACACACTGTAACGCCGCGCACTGTACTTTAATTCTATATTTATCCGAGAAGATGTTCGAATCGAGCGCAAATGCCAGATTCCTGCAGATTCCTAGTTCTTGCGCTTAACTTGCGCGTTACCAAATAATCCAAGATATTCCTGTCAGGATCCAAGATTTTCCTACTACCAGTATGGTAGTATGGACTGTTTGGTAGTATGGTAGTATGGTAGTTGCAGGAACGCGCGAAGACCTATATGTAAATATTACAAAAGCGTACATGGAATCGTGCCTTAGTTGGTTAATCCGTCGGTACTACATCAGCAGATCGCGAGTCCGAGACCCGGAAAGGAATTCTTTCACAATCTTTTGGCAATTATGAATAACTATACTAATGAATTAATAACTATACTAATGAATAACTAAACCTCTGTAATATAACTAGCAAAGTAAAATGAAATCGTTATCCGGCCGAAAAATTTATGGTTGTCGTTTTAAAAATATATGGTAGCCGTTTTTTCTTTCCAGACTGGATTCCTAGTCCCTTTTTAAATTTATGTCACTGGGAGT